GTTCTGGACATCCAATAAAAGCAGAGAACTTGGCAGGGCACAGTGGTGCATGGCTGTGATCTCAGGACCGGGAGGCAAGGAAGGAGGATTGCTTGAGCCCATGAGTCTGAGGCCAGCCTGGGCAACATAGTGAGACCCTGTCTCAATCAATCAATCAATAATATTTAAAAGAATAGAGAATTTACCTTTGGTTGAATCCTTGGTAGTACAACAGAGTGGTCACCTACACAAACTCTGTATCCAAAATACTGCTGCCAAAACCCCAGCTGTGCCACTTACTCTGGATGACCTTGGGCAAGTTTCTCCACCCCTCTGTCCCTCACCTTCCCAATCTGTAAAATGGGTGACAACAATGAGCACCAACTGATACAGTTTGGAGGTGTGTTCCCTCCAAATCTCATGTTGAAATGTGACCTCCAATGTTGGTGGGCCTGGTGGGAGGCGTCTGGGCCAGCCATGGGGGCGGATCCCTCCTGAACGCTTGCTGCGGTCCTCAAAATAGCAAGTGAGTCCTCTCTCTATGAGTCCATGTGAGACCTGGTTGTTTTAGAAGAACCCGGCCCCTCCCTCCTGTCTCTCTTGATCCTTCTCCCTCCGTGTGGTATGCCAGCCCCACCTTTGCCTTCTGCCATGACTGTAATCCCCCTGAGGCTTCTTCAAGGGCAAATATTGGTGCCATGATTCTTGTGCAGTCTGCAGAACCATGAGCCAAAATAAACCTCTTTTTTTTTTTTGAGACAAGGTCTCACTTTGTCACCCAGGCTGGGGTGCAACGGCACAATCTCAGCTCACTGCAACCTCCACCTCCTGGGTTCAAGAGAGTATCCTGCCTCAGCCTCCCTAGTAGCTGGGTTTACAGTCACCTGCTATCATGCCAGGCTAATTTTTATATTTTTAGTAGAGACAGGGTTTCACTATGTTGGCCAGGCTGGTCTCAAACTCCTGACCTCATGATCCGCCCGTCTCAGCCTCCCAAAGTGCTGAGATTACAGGCATGAGCCACCGTGCCTGGCCAAAATAAACCTCTTTTCTTTATATGTTACCCAGCCTCAGGGATTCCTTTATAGCAACACAAACAGACCAACACACCTGCCTTCCAGGATATTGCAAGGAGCCAAGTCAACACATATAAAGCTTCTCTGTGCTCAGTGCAATCACAGACTTGCACCCATTCTTTTAGTAACCTAGAAAGAGACAGATCAGGCGTTGGCTCAGCTGCCAGGTGATCACGTTTTCCCACTAGTTTGGAGCCTCAGGTCTAGTATTCTCCCTCCTTATGAGTCGTTCACTAGGACTTTCAACCCAAACCTCTACAGAGTAATGACCAGCAGGAAAAAGAAGCAGCTGGTAAGTGCTGCCTCCTCTTTGATCTTTATTTAAAGGAGGATTAGGAAATCCTGCAGAACTGAAAAGCCTAAAGTGAGGCTGTGGTAAGGATAGAATTTTTTTAACCAAGCAGATCAAAGAGGGAGGTAGCGCCTGGTGCTCCCAACAGCTGAAGCCATTCTTTTAATCACGCTTCAGATGGCCTGGAGGTTGGTGGGAAGATGGCATGGCTCACCATCCCAAGCCCGTGTGCTTTCCAGGCAATGAGCCACAGAGCTTGATCTTTTTTCCCTACACACCAGGAAAAGGAAAAGAAGCTGGCTTTTGTTAAGCTTCATGCGGGGCCAGCAAGTTGCCTTATTATTGGGAGAGGCTAGGACCGTTTGTGTCGCTGTATGCAATACTTGTTGCTGTGTCTGTTCGTATTATGATATTGACAGAGCCCATTATCATAATACGATTTATCATAACACCTCATGAATCCCATGACAACCCTATGGGGTGAAAAATGTTACGCCGTTGTTGGAAACGAAGGAGCAGGCCTCAGAGAGACTCCGTCACGTGCTCAATGTTACACATGACAAATGGGAAGTGAGATTCACATCAACGTCCCTCAGCACACACGCTCTTCCCACTGCCGCCTGGGAAATAGCCTTGGGTCCTGTGGGGAGTATGGTCCTGAATGTGCTGGAGACCCCTAGACACTCTGAGGAATATGGTCCCGACCATGCTGGAGACCCCCAGACACTGTGGGGAATATGGTCCCGACCTGGCTGGCGTCCCCCAGACATTGTTTGCATCCTTAAATCTTCTGTCCTCCATTTTTTCCTACTAGTGTCCTGGGGGCCCCAAAGTAGAGAAGCCACCACGGGCTCCCCCTGCATTTAGTGAAGAAGTGCCCAGGAGGTTCCACCCAGGAGCCACCTGCTCTCTAACATCCCCTCTGCCTGCCTGGTCTTCAGATCCATCCACACCTGGACTGTCCAGTCCCACTCCGATGTGGCTTCTGCCATTAGCGAAGTCAAGGCCATAGCATATTTTTCAGAGAGCCACACGCAGCCCTCGGCAAGCACTCCCATGTCCCTTGTTCGTGAAGGAGGAACACTGTGTCTTTTTTTTGGCTGGGGAGACCTAGAACTCAGGGGTGATGCAGGCAGAAGAGAAAACTAGGGCAGACTTTTCAGAAGTGGAGAAAAAGTAATACACTTCACAGGTGAGCTGCTGAAATCGTCCCACAGGGGAGCATTTTGTTTCTCATGAAACAGTTGACATTTGCCTCCAGGAGCCCAAACCGAGAAAAATGGAGCAGGCACTATTTATCCCAGCCAGGGATTACAACACTTTGGCCTGACACCCCCTGGGACCCCAGCAGACTACTCAACCGAAATACAAAAATAGGAGTTGATGTGATTTTTTCTCCATGCACAGTGCAATGGCTGGCTGGCTGCTGTTTCCTGCATAAACAGAAGTTGACAAACAAGTTATAAGCAGATACCCAGCTGGCATACTGCCCTCTTCTCTCCCGATACAGATGCCACATGCCCCCGTTCATGCAAACCCATAGGGACTTTGGAGGTTTGGTTGAAGTGCCAGGGCCACAGGGAACAGAAATGAGGTTTGTGGAACAAATGCATGGTCTATGGCAGGCAAGGTTTCAGCTGTTGACATATTCCAACACTGTGGAAACATTCCGGATGCAAATCCGCCTGATGGGAGTAGGAGATTTCACACATTTCACACCTCAGTGCCTCAGCCCACCTAACCTCCACACCAGTAGCATGGATGAGTCCCCTCCTCAGGAACCCTGCCTCTCTCTGCTGTTTGGAGGCAGAGGTTTCTCTGATGCAATAGAGGCTGCTCTACCTTTCACTGGCACAGCCCAGAGGCATGGGGAGGGGACACTCCCAGAGGTAACCTGAAAGAATAGGGGATGGGAGTTGACAGTCAGATGGCCCAGCCTCACTTCCTTCAGAAGCACAACAATGAGAGGCACCCTACACCCTGCGCAGAGTCCCCGGTAGAACTAGAGCTCAGTTGAACACAGCTGTAATCATCTCAATACCAAATTCTTTCATTGAACTTTCCTCCAGCCCTATGCCACCCCCACTATCCCTGTTCTGCCCCCTAGGATCACCACCCCATGAAAGTAGCTGAATCGAAGACTTTGTCTCAGACTTTGTTTCTAGGGAATTCAAACTTAACACAAAAAGTGGTCCTCAACTGCTCCTTGGAAAGACAGCGACAAAGACTTCATGACAGGGTCTTCGGCGACGTTAATCACCTAAGTTAATACGTTAAGCACTGCCTCATGGGTAGTTCAATGCACATTGATAGGATCTTGCTTCAAGTCTGTGCTGCCTTCCCCCTCTGCTTTTCTGCCCCCAAGCCTTTTTCCAAAGCTGCGGAATGTCCCCTACACAGGGATAACCTTCAAATGAGGAAGATTGGGAGTTGGTGGATAAATCCTACCTGATGTTAAGTGTGACAATAATCCCTCTATACTATAAAATATTTTGCCTGTAGTGCACTGGGATGAGGCCCAGGTGTAAGGAGAGCGTTGGCTTCTACACTAACTAGCATTTGAAGCGTATGAAAGCAGTAGTAATCATATGATGGGAGAGTTTGCCAGGTTTTGTTAACTGTCTTAGATTTGATGAAAGAGAATCATAAGCTCAGGTCAGCCAATTATCAGCTCAGGCTAGGCTGTCAAAGCCAGAATGCCTCCATGGAAGCATTTAAAGTGACCCTCATCTCTTGCAGCCAGAGGGCAGATAGTGCTGAAAATCAGGACTGTAATTAAATCTACGGGTGGAAAAATCATAAAAGAGACTGAATGCATAGCCTTGACAGGTCTCCAAGGCTAATGTCAGGGATCAATATAGAAAGAGTGGGACCCTGAGTCCAGGAATGGAGACATGTGGAAGAATGCATCTGAGAATTCTGGACCTTATCCACTGACCCCTCCAAACTGAAAGAAGGAACTTTCTCCCCTTTTCTAGAGAGAAAAATACTCTTAATTGGTGACTCTGAAAAGGCAAGCCTTCCTATCATGCTGCTCCATAATGTGATGCTGCTTCTCCTCAGGTTCCTTCTTCCTCTCCTCATTATCTTCAGACCAATAACTAGTGTCAGTGATCAGCATATCCCATGCAGACTGTGAGAAAGCTAGAATGAGTGCTGAAGGAAAGAGCTGCTGAATTTCAGTTACAACTTCTCAGAGCCAACTACAGCAACAAAACTAGCTGTGTTTGACAGATCCCTCTGGCTTAAGTCTTCGATTAGGGAGTTCACCTGGACACCACCTTGAAGAGTCAGTGATAGAGGGAACATAATGTGAGGCACGTGCAGATCAACTGTCAAGGGGTGGACTGCAGCAGGCTCTTCTTGGCTCTCCGGATTTCAGCACTGCTATCGTGGACAGTTCCATGCAAGTCGATGGGTCTTGGTTCACATCTGTGCTGCCTTGTTGACTCCCTGCTTTTCTGCACCAGGGCTTTCTCCAAAGCTGCAGAATGTCCCACACACAGAGACAACCTTCCAATTAATTTGGGAGTTGGTGGATAAATACTCCCACCTTGCATCCTTCAGAGAGCAATTCTAAAGCGTGGTCTGCAAAATTCCTCACAGGGTCTCCAGCAGAATTAAGATCTAGCTGTTCACAGCAGTAACTAGCTCAACAATGAATCCTTTATAGATTTTTCTCTCCCTTCCTGTCCCACTACCATCAGTCTACCCTCCAGATTCCTAGGAATCTACTCTCAGTTAAGCTCCCTGTGCTGCGGTCCTTGCCTCAGGCACTGCAAGTGAGACATCTAGAGACATCGGGTAATGTTTTTTGCCTTGTCCATGAACCAGGAGCTGCTGACAATGTGTGAGATTCTGTCCAGGGTAGAGGAAAGGCGGGAGCCCTTGGGTAGCCTACTCTGTGGCTAGGCCAGACGTGGATATGTGAATGATTCTGGAGATAACTCAATTTTTATCCATTGCATTGGCTTTAATTGTCCATTATTTAAATCATAATAATTATTGATCATCCTCACTTTCTGGGGGTATAAAGTTCTTAGGTTGCCCCAGTTTCCTTTGGCTTATAAGACCCCTGTTGAAGTGGTTCCTCCTGACCTCCTTGATCTCATGTCTCCTTCCCAGTCCCACCAAGGCACTCCATATCCAGCCACATAGAGTGACTCCATTCCTGTGCCTCACACACTCTCTCATCTTCTGGCCCAAGCCCCAGGACTTAGCTATCCGGAGGAACTCTGCCTCTTCCCATCCGGGACCTATTCTAACCTAACTATCCCTCCAGTGCCCTGTCACTCCCTCTGCCAGCATTTGCTGGGTATCCCTCTCGTGCTCCAGGGATTCCTCACGCCTAGCCTGTCTGTTGTAACTATAACAATCTTTTGACTTTCTCTGTTGGCTTGTGCATATAAACCATGGGACTATGAGCTTTATGAGAACAAGAACTATGTCTCACCCATTCTTGTAACCCCGAAACCTAGCACTTTTCAGGGCCTATATCAAGTGTGTAGTAATGTTTTTTTTAAGCTAGGTTGGTACAAAAGTCATATCTACAGGGTATCATAATAGTCCATTCATGCACATATTCGTTTAATGGGGCTGCTGTAGCAATGTACCACAAATAGAGTAGTTTAGTAGAACAACAGAAATTTATTCTCTTGTCGTTCTGGAAGCTACATCTTTAAGATCAAGGGAAAATCTTGATCTTCCCTAAGATTAAAGGAAGGCTGTCTGCTTCAACAAAAAAATCCTGATCTTATTGGTGATTTTGCATAAGTTTACACACAGAGAGAATGCCCTGTGATGATAAAGCCAGAGAGATCAGAGTGATGCAGTTCCCATGTTCCAGGTGGGACAGGGAAAGAATGATGGGACACACAGGTGACTGTGGGTATCCAGGAGCCTGGTGACCACACCCAGGAAGGGCCAGTGGGGCAGAGGGCCACACAGGAGAGGCCTCCACTTGTGCTTTCCCTGTCATACATCCTATGACAGGGCACAGCCAGCTGGCCCCCTGAGGAGGTGTTTGCTGCCCTCCTGTCTGTTAGACCCAGAGATCCATGCAGGCAGGAACTGCACCTGTCTCAAACATCACCAGACACTAGCACCGAAGACAGGGAGCAGGAAGGTGTTCAGTCAATGCACCAAATGAATGAATGAATGAATGAACGAATGAATGAACAATGGATCTCCACTCTCACTCTAGTATGAAATGAATTTTATCCTCCTAAAAAAGATACGTTGAAGACCTGACCCCGAATACTTTGAAATGTGACCCTATTTGGAAATAAGGCCATTGCAGATGTCATTAGGTCAGAAGAGCTCATGCTGGAGTGGGGTGGGCCTGGGGTCCATCAGAGAAGACAGCCATAGGAAGACAGAGGCACAGGTAAAAGACGGCCACGTGACAATGGAGAGAGACAGGAGGATGCACCTGCAAGCCGAGGAATGCCAAGGACTGCTGGCAGCAACCAGAAACCAGAGGAGGCAGGAAGGATCCTCCCTACAGACTTCAGAGGGAGCACAGCCCCTTGGACACCTTGATCCCAGGCTCCCAGCCTGCAGAGCAGTGCAGGGGCCAGCTCCTGCCATGCTGAGCCCCCACACCAATCTGTGGTGCTTTGCTACCGCAGCCCCAGGACATTACCCCACAGCCAGGGCCATAGCACTGGCAACTTCACCCCCTCTGCAGGAGCCACACTGGCACCAGCTGACTGCCCAGAGCCCTTCCCTGCACAAACTCCTGCAGCCGTGGCTCAGTCATCTATTCATTTGCTGCAGCCTTGGAGCACCATGGACTGGGCCTCATGCTGGATGCTGGGGATGCAGTGGGCTCACAGTGCAATCTTCATCACTCCCTGTTATTATCACACCATACTGATGCAGGACAGGCAAGCCCCAAAATTGGGGCTTAGCCCAGGAGGGTTCTTGGCTTCACCCAGGAGATAATTTAAGGGTGAGTTGGTGGTTTTAGACAGCAACTTTTATTGAAGTGGCAGTGCATGGCAGCAGCAGAGATATGGCTCCTTGCAAATCAGGCTAACCCACAAGCAACGTGCCCAGGGTAGCAGCTCAGAAGCACTTCTGTACTCACAGTTATACTTACTTTTAATTACATGCAAATTAAGTGTGTGCAGAAATTTCTAGGAAAAGGCTAGGAACTTCCAGGTTGTCAGGGTTGTTGCCATGGAAAGGAGTAGTAATTTCCAGGTGTTGCCATGGAAATGGCAAACTGACATGGCACACTGGTGGGCGTGTCTTATGGAAAGCTGCTTCTGCCCTGGCCTTGTTCTGTCTAGTCCTCAGTTTGGTCCGGAGTCCAAGCCCCACCTCCAGAGTCGAGTCTCACCTCCTACCTCAATATCACTGATGCCTGAGACCCAGGAAGCTTCAGTAACTTCCCCCAGATCACCCTGCTCTGAGGGGCAGTGAGAGTCACTACCTAAAACATGTTCATGGGGGACACGGTGAACCCCAGAGCTGGTTGTTGCATGTGGAGACCACCCAGAAAGATTAACAGTGTTAAGTTTTCCAATGTTTTTTTGAGACAGGGTCTCACTCTGTCACCCAGGCTGGAGTGCAGTGGCATGATCTTGGCTTACTGCAACCTCTGCCTCTCAGGTTCAAACAATTCTCCTGCCTCAGCCTCCTTACTAGCTGGGATTATAGGCATCTGCCACCACACCTGGCTAATTTTTATGTTTTTTGGTAGACAGGGTTTCACCATGTTGGCCAGGCTAGTCTCAAACTCCTGGCCTCAAGTGATTCACCCACCTCAGCTTCCCAAAGTGCTGGGATTACAGGCATGAGCCCCTGCGTTCAGCCCAAGTTTCCCAAATATTTGAATTGTGATCTAGAAGAAAGTATTATTTTTCTCATTTCTTATTTAAAGATGGCAGAAGGATTGGGCAAAAGTGTTCCACCACCCAGGGCCCTGAAATCACATACAGTTTTGAGCAGGCCTGGGCACCAAACCCCTCAGCCTGAGGAGCCCAGGGTCAGGCCACTCTTCCTGGTAAGCTCAGGGCCCGGAAGCAGGAGGGCGGCACCTATGCACATCTCAGGGCCTGCTATACATGCATCTCCTGGGCACTACGAAACTGCCAGCCTTCTGCAGTCTGATGGCCCTCCATCTGGCAAGCAATAATGTTAAATTTTCAGGAATTTTAGGAGCCAGTGGTTAAACGCAGCCATTATTAAAAATTAAACTATATAAACTTTTAATTAAGTAAATTATAAAAAAGAACATAATAAGTACTCACATTTCATGATTTCCCCATCATCTGACTGCATCTGACTGCACACCACATGTGCCAGGTGGCTCATGTCTGTGGCAGGTTTACGGTGGAGTCTGTGTGGTGGCACTGCTGGTCCCTTCTCAACCCTCATTCAGTGATGGTACAGTCATGGGCTTCAGATCAGCCATAGTTGCAGTGTTCACACCACAGTAGGCAAACGCTGTCAACCAAGGTTAGATTAACTGTTCCATGGATCTCCCAGTCTTAGAAAAGAGAGAAATTGCTAACAATGCAGACTAAACTCTAAAGTACGTTGTGTTTCTGGACATTTATTGCACTGTGATGAGCACAGAAAAATGAGGAAATATTCTTTGAGTATTTGAAAACTATCATCCAATTCCTTGAAGGAACCACTCACATAATTGACAAAATGATGATGTTTAGACATATGTCTCTGTTGTTTCATTTCTGTCTTATTCATTAATATAAACAAAAATGGAAACTGACATTCACATCAGAACTATACTCGTTCATCAATGGCAAGCTCTGACTACAACAAATACAAGAGTTTGACAAAAATCAACAAAAGCGATCTTTGAGAATCCATTCATCATACGGAATTTGAAATACACAGTATTGCGGATGTTAATGTCAATTGTGTGCTCTGTCTCCTTTATATCAGTAATAACTTCTGTGCATTTTATCACAGAGCTGGTTGTTGAGCATCACCAGCACAGCAGTGTCTCCCAGCTAAGGCCAGCCTTGACCTTCTGAATCCTCAGCCTTTCCCACGCTTTCACTGCGTGTGGCCGAAGCTCAGCCCTGGGCCTACAAATGCAGCCATGGCTGGCCTTGACCACACAGGCCCTGAGCAGCTGACAGTGGGGATTGGCACTGCCAGGTGTGAGACTTGACAGGCCTGGCTGAAGACTCAGGCCTTATGAGACAGAGGAATTTGTCAATGGGACCAACAGCCAAGAGGAAGTACCAGTAACGGCGGTGTCAGCCCTGAGTTTTTCCGCTCCAGTGGGTCCTCCCCAGGGTAGGCGGATTGAGGTTGACCTGCACTGCAGCAGGGAAGCCTCTTTTCAAGGTCCTGGTCCTTGACAAGTCCTCTCCTGGACCTGACTCTGCTCTAGGTCCTCTCAGCCCTCTAGAGCTGATCTTGACATCGGTCCTTCACAGGCCTGCCTAACCCAGCTTTAGCAAAGAGTTCTGTTAAGTCAGGTGAGTGAGGCGCCCCCCCACCCTCTACATCTGATCTGGTTCTTCATCCTCCACATCCCCCAGGTGATGTCTGATCACCTGCCTGACTTCAGCAAGAATCCCGTTAGGTGGATTGAGCCAGAATCCCCTCAACCCCTGAGGTTGCCTCTTAGTCATTTTCCATCCACGGACCCCACCCTGTTCCTTAGCTACAAATCCCCACTTGCCGGTACTGTGTTCCAAATAAAGCTCAGGGCCACACGTGTAATCCCAGCACTTTGGGAGGTTGAGGTGGGCAGATCACCTGAGGTCAGGAGTTCAAGACCAGCCTGGACAACATGGCGGAACACCAACTCTCCTAAAAATACAAAAAAAAAAA